CCAGGCAGCTTTCTCCAGCTCCCATGGATTTGCCTTCGGGAGCCGTGCTTGCTCCTTGCAACCTCTCCAAGGATGCCCGATGGCAGAAAGGCTCCTGTTTTCCTCGGCTTTCAAATGGGGGGTGCCCACCTCTGCACCCCTTTGCACCTGAGGAGGATTTGGCCGAGCCAAGGGCACGGGGCTGAGGCTCTGAAGATCACTGGCTTCTTCCTAATGGGCTTTGCCTGATGTGGTTTGAGAGTGTTTCAAGGGGAAACCGCAGATGCTGAGTGAATCACCATCGTTTCCCTCCAAATACAGCTTTGCCCATTGAGCACGAGTGGCTGGGGAGCCGGGCACACGGGGCTCTGCCCCCCAAACCTGCTGGGGAAGGGGGTTCTGCAACCCCAGTGGGGCTCCTGCTGCCTCCAAGCCCCATCCCGGCACTGACTCATTGCCTCCATCCACCACTTGTGCAAAGGAGAGGAAGAACCAGTCCGGACGGCGGCCCCCGCGCGCTGTGGGTGTAGACGCCGGGGTGGCTGAGCCTCGCTGGCCCCGGGCAGGGAGAAGTCCGGGCAAGCAGAGACAGGGGGTGACATTGCTGCAGGGAGGGGTGGCCCGGCGAGGTGGAGGGGTATGGGAGCTGCAGGGGGGGTTGTTGAGGCTGGGCAGGGCTTTTATGGAGGGAAGTGACATCTGGATGGTGGGGTCTCACAGCTGGATGGAGTGGTTGGCATCTGTATGGTGGGGTCTCACAGCTGTAGGGAGTGGTTTCACATCTGGATGTAGTGGTCTTGCATCTGTATAGAGTGGTCTCACATCTGTATGGAGCGGTCTCACATCTATATGGAGCGGCCTTGCGTCTGTATGGGGGTCTCACATCTGTGCAGTGAGGTCTTACATCTATAAGAGGGGGTCTCACATCTCTGCAGAAGGGGATCATGTTGATAAGGAGGTTTATCGCGTTGTTTAGGGGTAGAACATCTGGCACATCTGCCTGGGGGCTTCTGTCCGTCTGAGGTGTCCCACTGCTGCTCACGCTCTTTTCCCTGCTCAGGACTGCCAGGAGCTCACCGACGTGGAGCGCGCCATCGAGACTGTCATCAACCAGTTCCATTGCTACGCAGTGAAGGGACAGAAGGAATATCTGACCCCCAACGAGATGCAGGAGCTGGTGGTGCAGAAGCTGCCCCACTTGGGGAAGGTGAGGGCAGAGCCTTGGGGTGGGTAGGGGGAGCCGGGGTGGGCAGGGGCTGCTTGCAGGACCCCACAGCCCCATCACCCCGATGCTTTCTTCCCACCCTGCTGCAGTGTGTTGGACCACTGGAAGAGAAGATTGAATGCATGGGAGACCCTGACGAGGCTAAGCTGGAGTTTGGAGAGTACTGGGACATGATGGGGGATGCAGCCAAGGGCTGCCGGAGGAAGTAGAGGGTGGTGGGTGGACGGGAAGGCGCCCGAGGCCTCAGGCTCTGCACCGAGAAGCGCGAGAGGCTGCTGGTCCCGGTGGGATGCGCCTGGGAATACACAACGTTGCTCCTGCCGGGGCTCATCTCCTCCCCGCATCCCTACCCGGGGTGGAGGGATCCCCCTCCCCGGCTCCATTCCTGCCCTCTCCTTCCCGTCAGGACACCTCCCTTCCCATCCCCAGCAAGGGTGTGGTAAGGGGGTTCCTGGCTCCAGCTCTGGAGCCACCTTTCTCCGTCCTTTGCTCCAGAGCCTTTCTCCCAGGGGTTATCCCACCTCTGGCCCTGAAAACTCTCCGGTTGCAGGTCCCCCAGCCCCGGAGCATTGCAGCGAGAGGGACTTGGCTCCTTTTCCCCCCAAATCCCTTGGATGTTTGGGCTCGTCCCCTTGCCACTGATGGGACCCCTTGTACTTTGTGCTTCGAGCACCTTTGGGGTATCCCAGGCTCCGGGGCCGGCACCAGTGTCTCCATGCCTGGACTGGGTGTTATTCCCTGCTCTTCCCGCAGTGCAGGGACTGTGGTGCCTTGTGCCTGGCCAGGTTTTGGGGGTGCTAAGCAGGGGGGTACCATGGTGCTCCCCCATTTGCCCCTCTCCAGGGATGCTGGCCCCTGGCTGGGCTCGGGGCTGGGATGGTGGCGGGTTGTTACCAGCTTGCAACCAGTTTTGTATAAATTAATAAAGGAAAACACTGGAAAATCCCAGCCAGGATGGGGTGACATTATTTGTCCTTGGTGGGAGAGGAAAAAAGGGGAAAAGGAGGGATGAGGTTGCAGCCACCATGGCTCTGAGCATTACTCGCTGCTGGGTTGCACAGCCCCGCTGGTCCCAGTGCTGAACTTAGGGTACAAGGGATGCTGCAGGGGTATAAGGGATGTTGTGTGAGTACAAGGGATGCTGTGTGGGTACAAGGGATGCTGTGTGGGTACAAGGGATGCTGCAGGGTAGGAGGGATGCTGTGTGAGAACAAGGGATGCTGTGTGGGTACAAGGGATGCTGCGGGCTAGGAGGGATGCTGAGGGGTACAAGGGATGCTGAGGGGGTGCAAGGGATGCTCTGGGTGAACACGGTGCTGGGGATGTGCATGTTGCTGCAATGGTGATGGGTTCCTGGGGTGGCTCCTGCCCAGTGCTCCCCATTTGAGGGCACCCCACAAGCAGAACCAGGGTGGTGTGTGCAGACCAGGCACCCCCAAAGCTTGGAGCACGTGGCTTTGTGCTGGGTCAGAGGGAGCTCAGAGGAGACCCCTGGGCTCAGAAGGAGTTGTGGAACCAGCAGCAGGATCCCCCCATGTCATGGAGTGTGGGGTTTCGCTGTCATTACTGCACATTAGAAAGCACTGAATGCCACAGGGTGGTGGCTCACTGGGATGGGGCTGTTAGCTCAGGCACTGAGTGCACAGAGGGCCAAGGAATGGGCTTGAAAGGGTGCAGAGTGCCTGCTGAGCTGGGTTATCCCCCCTTTCCTCTTCCACCGGGCAATTCCTACCGTGCTCTGTGTCCAGGAGGAGCCCGTGGGCATCTCCATGGGATGGAGACCCCCCTAACCAGAAGAGGGTAGAGGGACCTCAGCAGCATTGGTGCTGCAGGGACAAAGCCAAAGGTGAACAAACACAACCCCAAACCCAAGAGAAACGTGATAGAACCCAAGGCTGGGCCATGATGGCAGCAGCGCTGACACCGCGGCTCGGCCACAGGCCACTGTGTGTCTCCTCTCACCTTGGGCTGGATTTCACAACGAGAATGACTATTTATTGTCCCTGCCTTGGCAATAAGTACATGGAAATGAAGCAGAGAGGTGTGGTGTGTGCTTAATGAGAGACAGGAAATGTGTCAAATGGTTGGGGTGATGATGGGGGGAAAAGGGGAGCTGAGACTCCGGGATCCTCTTCCCAGCACCAGGCTGGGAACGTGCCATGGGACTCCTGGGTCCTATTTGTGGTTGAGCGACCGGCTCCTTGGCATGATGGGGTTGTCGGGAGCTCGGGAATTCCTGCAGCGTGAGGCAGCCTTGATAAGTATCTGTTGTAGATGGAAAGTCCTCGGAGGTGGTAGGAACAGCTCAGACCAAGGTGATCGGTGCCCCTTGGGGAGTCAGTGTTGCCCATGCAGGCAACGCCATGCAATGCATTGCCCGTGCTGTGACCACCATCACGGTGGTCACCAAAGACCCCCAAATCCGGGTCTCATTGTCACCCCTTTAGGAGGGGTCCCATGGAGCAGAGCTTGCCCATGAGACACCAAAGTGCTCCCGACCCTTCAGACCTGAAGCTGGTGGGCACCAGCGGAGAGCCCCAGCCTCACTGGGAAGTGTCTTGTGATGGCTTTGGATGGTACGTGGCTGCTCCGAGCACACGCACACACCCTGGATGCCTTGTAAAAATAAGGGCCTGGATGTGGTTGTGACATCGGCCAGGCCCAGGAGGATAATGAAAGGCCGTGATTCAGAGGTGAGCTGTTTGCCTGCAGGGTCGGGGAGGGATTCTCACCCTCCTGGGATGTTGCATCAACGATACGGGAGCATCTCGGCCGAGAGCTGGTTGCTTCCTCCTAACCGAGATTAGGAGGAAGCCAGTGGAGAGCTTTGAGATGACACATATTCCTATCTGGGATGTCCTGAAAGCTCCTCTGAGCAGGTGGCTCCTGCCTGGAATAGGTCACCTCCTACTTTGCATCCTTAAATAGGCAGCTCCCAATAATGCCCGTATCTCATCTTGGCATCAAATCACTGCGCCATTGCTCTGGTAGACACATAAGGGTACAATTTGCTGGGACAATTAATTATGGAGGTGACTACACAAGCACAGCTACCAGTTGAGAAGAGCTTTAGCTGGCCCAGTGCGCTTAGGGATGTCTGAGAGCTGGATAAAGCCCTGCTTGGAGCTAGTGCTGGTGCTTCCAGCGCCCCAAAGAGCAGCCCCAGCCTCTTGCACCCCTGAGAACAAGTGGTTTTGGTTCAAATAAGTGTTGTCCCCACCTTGCTGGGCAGCTCCTGTCCCACACCCGACCCATGGTGGGTGCATGGGGTGGTTTGGAGTAGGAGGGGTGATAGGGATGCACCAAGGGATGGAGGAACTGGGCTTTAGGCTGGTGTGTGGCTGGATGGGGCAGGTTTTCCTGGGAGCCCACCACCCCTTCCAGACGATGGGGTCTTTTGGGGTGGTCCCCAAACACCTTCCATCACCCCACTTCCAGGCATGGGAAGGAGCCGGAGCCAGAGCTGGCTGCACGTCCCTGCTCGCACCGGCCCGTCTGGGTGTTGCAATCCCAGGGAGCCATTTCCCAGGTGAGCTCCAGCCTGGGAACGCCCCAGGAACGTCAGGGAGGGGTGGGAGCCTCTTTAAAAGCCCTGCTGGGCCCCATGCTATGGGTGCAAGGTGAGCAGAGAGCGGGTGCCATCGTCTCCCATTGCCTGTGCTGCCAGAGCGGAGACAGACGGACACAGCAGGACCCACGCAGGCTCTGAGGTGGGGATCAGGAACCTGGCACTGGGATCCTCGGATGGGAATAGTCAACCAGGAGCAGCCTGGGACATGCTGGTGCATGTTGGGTGCTGGAATCCCCCGAGCCCATCGGCAGCTCCATGCGTGCGGGGCTGGGATGGAGGGGACCAGATGGATGCAGGGGGAGCACAAGGGGGTGCGTGGTCAAACATGGGGCTCAGCAGCTTCCACCAAGCTCTGCTGCCTACAGAGAGCCAGCACATGGGGTGCAGGGGGGGGTCTGGCTCCTGGAATAGGAGCATTTGCCTCCTGCTTTGGGCAGGGAGCCCTGGTGAGCATGTGAGGAAGAAAAGGGAGAGGGGAAGGAAGAGGGGGGACCGTGGGCAGGAGCGGAGCAGCCACTGAGCACCATCCCCTTGTCCGCCTGTGGTGACAACGTCCCCCTGCCCCGGGCTGGCCTCGGGGGCTCGTGGTGGGGTTGGGGTGCAGGCAATGGCTGGTGCTGTGAGTC